TGGGAGAGTTGTGTTAGCTATGGTGATAAGCATTTGACCAGACAGCTGCTCTCTGCTCCTCTAAACAAACATGAATGTGCTGTTCCAGAGAGGAGATAACAATGCTATACGCCTGGGTATTCATCATTTTATTTATCACTTTTATAGTCTTGTGTACTATGAAATAACAAAAGGTTGGGACTGTTTACTCTAAGTTTAAGTCCAGCAGTTAAAATATTACAAATGTTACAAGATAAAGAGCATTATCAAGGAAATATGAAACAGTAGCAGGGGTTGTAGGAGAGGCGAATTCATGACATTGCACAGGCGGAGCTTTATATCATGTCAACTACTTTACGTGTTCAAATGCTGGCTAAAATTAGCCCCCATAAGACACTGCTCCTACCATATAGAGTCATAAAGTCCTGATTCAGTTATGCCGTTCATACTAAAATATCTAACTTGAACTAAAAATACATTTAGCTAACATTAGCCACCATCATTTCAGACCAATTCGACAGTAGTTTCAAAACCACTTCAGTGTTCAGATGAAGGTAGAATAGCTCCACCAGAAACAAATGGAAAACTTTTATAATGTATATAGAACCACTCTAGTCAAGCACCTCAAAACTAAACATAACTTCGTTTCCACTAAAGTGAGGGTTGAGATATAATCCGGTTTTAGTGCTGTTGACACAAACATGCAAACTGGGTCAGGCAGTGAGAAAAATTCCAATTATTTTTACTGCACAAAGGGACACACGTCACTGACACGTAATCCAACATTTAGAAAAACACCAATAATTATCTATGCACATTAGGGAATGCTATTCAGGTCTCTTTTATGTTTTGAACTGTTAATGTTTGGGGCGTTGTGTAAATGTAGCTTTTGAATTACCTTCATTTACTTCCAAGCATGTACATTTACTCCGTCTGGGTTCACCAGCGTGTTTGGAAAACTCTGCCCACGCCAGCCTGCCAAGGTCTCTCTCTTCTCTCCTGACCTGACATTCTTTCCCCGGCTGTAGTTGACGTGCGGTTTCAAGATAAAAGCCTCCATTCATTAGTCTGACCCAGGGCCCAACGGAACGACAGGATACCCCACCTTTGTCTGGCAACAACCAGGGCCATATTTTATCCAGTGCTGGTGGCCTTCACATTGAAAACAACCCGTGCTACAGGACATTTTCTGCAGTGTGTGTGTGTTTCAGGTGTACTGTGCCCTCAGGATTACTTTTACTTTCAATATAATTGCAAGAAGGTTTGGGATTTTCCAGGTTTAACTACCCTTCACAAGCTCGCTCTGTTGTAGCATACTGTATACTTTCTTTCTCTTTTATCCTGTTTGACTTTTGGCCGAGCTGTCTAAGCTCCACCACACACCTACACTCTGTCAGTAATGAGTTATTTGTCTGTTGTGTGACGCGGAAGAGTGCAATCTTACTCGCTCGCAAATCTCCTGCTTGCAGCCTCTGCCACACTCCCAGGAGGGATATCATGCAGAAGTAATGGGGACAGAAGCTGACTTCCTTCAGCTGTTACTGCTGTTTGGTGTCTGTGAATCATCTCCAGACACTGGGGCCAACTTCTGCCACATCTTACATTTAAAGGGATATTTTACCCAAAAAATCCACAAATCAACCAGTTCAATACATTCAAAGAAGCTTTTCAAACCACTTCTTCTCAGACTGGCCTGATTGTCTTAAGAAAACCATTTGATCTTGTGTAGCTCACTAAAACTACTTCTATGAACAGTACGGGCTACTATGAGCTTCACAAAGGTGCACCATGATAGTAATTGTGTATTAACTCTAGCAATATTTGGGCTAAAATAGCAATGTGCAACATAATAATGGAATATGGACACATTTATTGTTCTTAAGGATTGATTGAAATGATTGTGTGTCTGCTTCAAAATGGTTTTCCAGTGTAAAAAACACTCTGGTATTTCCAAATGTATCCTACTTGATTTAACACAAAACAGTTGTTTACAGCACAAGTGAAAAACAGAACAGAAGAAAGGAGACCAAAAAAAACAGAAGTGAATGAAGGAGACAAATTGTAGAAGGAATTTCTAACAAAACAATTGTAATTGTCCATTTTGACATTTGTTTAAATCCAATATGGTAAATGGCAGACTCACTTGAACATTACACCGCATTGGGTTAGTGGTACTTTGCCTGGACATGAACATATTTCACTGCACCGCTGTGAATATAACAAGAGGAATGTTGGAGTAATGTGAAATATCACAGCTTACATGTGAAGATCTCTACGTTTTCTCTAGATAAACACATTTCATTTGTGGAAAACGAAATTGTACACGACAACATGTGCAAATGTAACAGGTGTGATAGTTTACATCGGTAAACTGGAAATGTCTCTAAGCTTTCTGTAGCACACCGAAACGTTCCACTATTTCACAAAATGACACGGTGGTGCGTAACTGTGGGCGAAACTGCGAATGCCTAATAGGCGGGGGTTTACACATGTGTGAACTTGTACTTGATTTAAGGATTTCCTACTCATATGAGAGGACCTTTAACATGACCAGGAAATGAGTCAGTTTTTGTGGTGGTTGATATCAAGAGGCCAGAAAAGGGGGAGACACATCTACCAAATGTCAACAATATTTTATAGAACTCAAGAAAAAGTATTGTTCTAAAGACATATTTCTCATTTATCAGGAGTCTCAGAAGAAAAACTGAATACAAACAATGAATAAACATGTTTTAAATACTCTTCTTAAAGATATGTTCTGTGTATGTCATTTGATATGATGCTTTGTTGGAAATAATCTCTTTTTTGTAAAATAAAGGTAACATCATGTCTCTCAACATCTCATGTTAAAAGTTAAATAAAAATGTGAACAAATTAAAGCAACATGAATTTAAAAAACAGACTTTCTACTAATAAAAACACATTTTAAATATTTTTCAGAGACTGTACCCAAATAACTTCATGCCATGAATTACAAAATATCCAGTACTGCCAGTACTCTAATTTTTCCATAAAAAAGTCAAGTATAATACTGGATTTGGGTGATCAAATCTCGATCACACTGGTGGTTATTGTGTGTGTTTTGTGCACATGTACACACATAGCAAATAGGTTTGTGTGTGTTTCTGTCCACCTTCAGGTCAGTGATTGAACCAATCAGTGTGTCTGTTTGATTGCATCATGATTGGAGCTCTCAGTGGGTCACCGTGACTGTGTCTCCAACAAAAAAAGCACTGCAGCCTGTACTTTTCCACTGATTTTAATGAGCACGTAAGGACTGGCTGCTGGAGAAAAAAAGCTGATTTCACTGCTTCCTGGCCATATGATGCCTCCTCAGTGTTTGACAGGGTCACACCAGATGTGCTTTTACAGTTGGTTGTGACTCTATCTGTTTCATATGTGGATAAACACCCACAGATTTGCACACACATACTGAAAAAGAGAGCAAAAGGGAACCTAAGGTGATACTGTATATACTGATGTGAGGTACACACACACACACACACACACACACACACACACACACAGACACACACACACACACACACACACACACACACACACACACACACACACACACACACCTGTTCTCTATCCTGGCTGGTATAAACTGTGAATAAGCAGTCGTAAAATCCTTACTTTGAACATAGAGTACCCTACAGTCTCTATATCGGTTTGGCCCAAGGGTTGTCGATAAACATTGTTCTTTGTTCCAAATTGAGATCTTGCAGACATTGTTTTTAAATGTGGACCACCTTTTAAAAGATTATGATATTTCTAGACCTAACAACAAGACAATAAATGTAGTAGTCACAAAATAATCACACATAATTAAAACCAAACAAAAGAAGAGAAAACAAATCAACCTAAAAAAACAGAGAAAAGTTCAACTCGATTTGGAAACATCAATATGCCCTGATTACAGACCGTTGTGGAACATTGGAGTACTGCTGCAGGGTAAACTAAAGGGCAAAAAACCCTTCCACTTCTTTATCAGGGTCTTAGCTCTTTTTGGAATTAATGTTTTTCACAGGGTAGCAACGATATGATAGGCTATAACTTTGATTATAAACTCACAGACCCCCAACTGGATAACTAAGACTACTGCAAAAACTCAAAAGTGTTTCTGCATTTGCTCTTGTTTTTCCCTATAGAGACACATGGGGGAGAGACGTGGGGGATGGCATGGAACAAAGGCAGCTGGTCAGCATGTTACACTCCAACAGGCCACCAGGACAACCTGTTGGAATGTCTTTCTGCATTGAGAACGGAGAGGAGAGACAAATAAATCTTCCTTTACATGTATGGAAAGTGGGTTTAAACTCATGACAGATCTATACATTTAAAACCCTATGCTTAAAGTATGTTCAAAATGTAAATACAGAGAAACTACAAGTAGATAGTTACATATTGAAGTGCAAATTGCTGGATAGTATCGTGGTGAACATAAATAATATACGTTTATTAAAAAGATGAGGTGCATAGTGACTAACTGCAGTTTATCCAGGTGTGGAAAGGGTTATCAGACCACTAACAGTTAAATCAATAAGACGATAAGACAATCAGAGATCCATCGAGGTTGGATTTTGGATACAGCAAACTAAATGTAACTGTGTATTTCTACCATAAACTACATTTCCTGCCAGGCCTTGGTTAAGGACTATTATTCTAATACATTAAAGTAAGAAGGTTATAGGTTTCCAACTTTTTGTAAACAACATTTGGTGTGAGTTTTGCCGTTTTCTTTGTTGTCGGTTTCTTTTGTTGTTTTTTTCAACCTCGCGTATTTCCGACAGCCTGTGAACGCGTCGCGGTTTCACGCTGTGTGCCTCTGTTTATTTTCAGATGGTGACGCGTTCGCTGCTCTCCTCCTATATGCGGCTCGTCAGACGGACGCCGGCCGGGGATTGGTGCTCTGTTGTTGCTGTAGCAGCTTGTGTGGCTCAGTGGGGAGGGAGGGGGCGCTATAAAAGCCTGCTCCCCCACACACAGAGCTTCACTCTGGAGGAGGAAAATCTACACGGTGGGTTGGTCAACCTGGAACGGAAGGACCCCCCCAACCCCCCCCCTGCTATTTACCAACAACAGGCGTCTATTTTCGAACACTGTACCGTCCTGGCACACGGACCTGCTCTGAAAAGAACCTTCACTCTACCTCGACGAAATAAATGTCAAGAGAAACAACGCAAGAGCCAACAGATAAGGATCGCTGCTCGGAAGAAGTGGCGAGAAATACGAAGAGTCGGACCAACACGTAGAGACAAACAGGAAAAGCGCACGGGTCGTGTCCGCTGTCTTTCTCAATGCATACTCTTTGTGCCCGAGGAACCATGAAGCCTGAGATCAGCGCCGCGGTGACGTTTCTGTCGAGATTTCTGAGGGTAAAAGGACACGTAAACGACCGACAGGTCCAAACATTCAACCAAAGCTTACAGGACATTTTGTCAGGTAAGAAAACGAGAACATTCTCCCGTTGCGCCCACCAAACACATCTTAATATAAACTGTCTTCCATGTTTTTCCTATGTTCAGTTGGATGATTTAGTTATTAAATTACTCTTTTAATTGGTTTGAAGATGATTCAGAAAAAGCCTTTCTTTGTTCTCTAGTGTCACTAACAGTGCGCTACCAACGCGCACCACTGTTTGCGCACGACGAGGGGAAAAAAACAAGCCAGAATCAACACTGCGAGTAGTTCACGACGATTCCTCGACGATTACATTGATACTAAATTATATTGTTTCACTAAAACACAAAATGGACCATTTGTGGTTGGTTACTTTGTTTGGAAGAAGAGGAAAAGGGGGAGGGGGTTGGAAAGAGGCTCGAACAAGGAAGTGCTCGATAAAGCTCTGAGCACAACAGCCCCAGTGAGGCTGCTCAATTACGTAATGCATTAGAAATAGGTTGGCAATAAATACACAAGCAATGAAATAAATAATTCTATGCAGGGTCACTCACAATAATAAATTAAAACTTTTGTTATACAATGATCACAATAGAAAACATTACTTTCGACTTGTTTGTGTTTTATATGGTGAGTAACCACTTGATATTTGAGCAATACAAATGTCGACCATGTAGTTAAACTGTGACATTGTGTTTTCCCTGCCATTCACCGTTTTGGCATCAACACATTTACTTTTCACAGTGAATGGGAGTCGTCATAGCACTTCCCTTCTCTTTATTTCCCAGGAAATTCGGCCTCTTAGCTTCCCACAGGCTTACTTTAGCATTATGACTGGTTTTAGAGTATATTATATATAGTATTAGAGATACTGCTCGGGGATTGGGTCTCATTTCCTGCTGTAAACACACTCCAGCTTTAAATCTACCATACATCTGCCTCAGTCTATTAAGCAGATGGCCTTAATTTCCTACATAAAGAATGTATTACTTTTTGAGGGAAATGTTCCCTAGAAAAAACGAAAGCACTTACCAGCTAAGTAGAATCATTGTTGGACGTCAATAATGAAATTTCTTCTACAGCCTAGGGAAAGTATTGTCTTTAAACTAGGCTAAAAGAACATTTAAACACCGTAAGAATCGAAGACAAGCTGCAGTTCGTTTTAGGTGGCCGTGCAACTGCCTGTCGTAAATTATTGTAACACGTTGTGTAATTTTTAGGAAATGATTGACGAAAATATTGGGCAAAATGTTACCAAAAATCATCGCAATTTGACAGCAGTGTTTGTAAACAAGGCAAACGTTGAATGGAGACGACTGGGAGGCCTGTGGGTGGGGGAGGGGAAGTGTTTCTGATGGGCTCCTATAGGACGACATTACATGTGGAGGAGCAGCGTAATCACATAGGAAATGGAGGGGAAATCCACCGAAAGAAACACCACGTTTTCAGTGCTCATAACCCGATTAAACGTTGCCATTTAACTCACAATGTAATGAATTTGGGAATGCTTGGAATACCGTAGTACTAGTTAGATAAATGTCGAGTTGGAAGCAAAAGTTAATTCTATGGAGGCTCGTCGCTGCTAAACTAGGCCTGCCTGAGCTCTTTTAGCCTGGAAAAAACAGTCACTCACTATTGTGTCGGCATGCTGGGCTGCTCTTGTTTGTGCTGAGCGAAAGGAAGTGGGGAAATTAACAGATTTAAGTCTCCATAGTTGTGTAATTGTAGTTAAAAGGCTTTGCTTCATCCTGTGTTGATGCCCACCCAGTTAATAATACAATCTCCAGATGTTTTCTCTAGTAAAAGTGATCAGATACAATGAATAAACAACCGTCTTTCTTACACTCTTTAATTAAAATGCACACCCTCATTTACTCCCCCTCCTCTTCCACATGTGTCCTGTTTTTTTTAAGAATAGGGGGTTGAAGGTATCTTCCTTTGTGTCCTAGGTTCAAAGATTAGACAACTTCTGCTGCCAGCCCAGTATACATCCGTCTGTGTTAAGACACAGGGGGAGTAAGGGTGTATTATCATGTTCATTTATACGTGACCTTCGGGCCCCCAGCCTGAATATTGGCCTACTTCACTTACCCTGTTTTTTCTTTGGCCACAATAAAGCTTGCAACAATGGGATTATAATATGGATGAGCTTTGACAGAGTAATGAGGGTTGGTGTGTTTTTGTGAAGTGGGCTGATAAAAAATCAGAACAAAGAAATGTAAAATAGAAAGAAAATTCCTTTTTCTATGTGAACTTCCATGGAAAGACTGGGCCATACATTGCTTCCTTAATCACCCAGAACCGTCAAATTTTCCTCTCGTAACCTTAACCACTTGCATGCCTGAAGCATACCAAGAGCGGAGTCACTAGTCACTGCATGACATTTTTTTACTCTGATGGAAAGAGAGACAAAATATGGTCCTTTCCCTTTAAGAGGCGGAGCCTGGTGTCCCAGATGGCTGGCTGGGACTTCTACACTTTTGATGTGTTTTGTTCAGCCAGTCATGGGAGACTTTGTGACAGTGACGGCAGCCAGAGGAGGGATTGTGACAATTCAATGGCCTTTTTTTTGTTGTCACGTAGGCCCCCGGGTGCCACTGGCCGCCTGTTTATAGCTGCTTATCAGGCCTGTAACAGGTTGTGGTGTTTTTCTTTCCTTTCCTAACACAACTGCACCCTGTACTTTGGTGTAGATCAGAACATTTGTTTTCTATATGCCATAGGCTAAATCTGACACATGGTGAACACCCGCTGGAACAAACTGTGATAATAGAACACAGGGGATACCTTTACATTTAGGATTAACATTGAATGCAATACCCTAATTTAAAATTTTCTGAATTAGTAGCAAGTCACACTCCACTTTTGCTTTTACAATAATATATTTGCGGTCAGATCTCATCTTGTTTTGTATACACTTGAGTTGCCTTCTCGTGGAAAAAGCAATACTTGAGATTAGGATCTACTAAATCATTAAGCTGTACTCTTTAACATTTGGAGAACACTCACATTTACACACTCAGGCAGCAATGTTGTGTTGAGATTTAATTAATCTTAACCTTTAAGAAAGGGTTAGGGGAAGCATTTTTACGTATGAAGTTAAAATATACGCACATTTTTCTTGCATACGTCTCTAACCCTCTGTGCCTTCATCAGAGCAGGTTTTGTGATTATTTTTTATTTTTTTCCACATTATGTCATCCGAAACAGCCTTTTAGTAATCACTCCAAAACTAAACTTTTTCTCCATCTTCCGTCCCTGCAGAGCAATATCAGCACCACTGGTTCCCAGACAGGCCATGCAAGGGTTCGGGTTACAGATGCATCCGTATCAACCACAAGATGGACCCTCTGGTGGGGCAGGCAGGCCAGCGCATCGGCCTGACCATCCAACAGCTCTACTCGCTGCTGCCCAGTGAGCTCACACTCTGGGTGGACCCCTTCGAGGTCTCCTACCGCATCGGAGAGGACGGATCCATCTGCGTCCTATACGAGTCAACGCCCTGCCCCGTGGGAATGCCTGCAATGTCCTCTGCCATGTCCCCCTCAGGAAACGGGTCTGGGGGCCCAATGGTGGACAGTCACATCAGCTGCAAGGAGGAAATGATGGTGATGGGCAGAACCAGTCCCTCCAAATCCTACAATATGATGACTGTGTCCAGTTAAAGAGGCCCACCGTCACTCCGGCCTACTTTTGTTCAGGGTCATGCCGTGGCTGGTCAGGTCATGTGGCCAGATTCAGGGTGAGCCTTTTTGAAGCAAGAATATGAAAGGAAATAGTGAAAGAAGAGAAAAGAAAAAAAACAGGATGTGGCCTATCGTCCAGGTGATGGAAACCTTTGTTCTAAATTGTCCCCCTCCCCCCATTATCATCCGTTCTGTTGTGTCATTGGATCAGCTGAGCACTCCGGTTTTTAAGGAGGCTTTGTGGAAATGGAACTGTTGGGGCAGCTAAACCAACCAACCAGGAACCCCCCCCCCCCCCCCATGGAGACTGGCTCCACCTACCCCCTTCGACTGTAAACAACATGGTGGTCAGCTCCATCTCTGAAGGGGCTTCATTGACTTTGCACTTTCTTACTTGTGGTTATTATGGGTACATGTTCAACACACGGAACAACACCAAAACCTAAATTGTAAGGCATTAATATCAGGAACTAGCCCTTGAATTTCAAAATCCAGAGGTTATTCAATTTGCCGTTTTCACTTGTTATGTTTCCTGGCCGGGGAGGAAGTGTGGTTTTCGACTGAGCCGTTTACAGTCCAAGCTCAAGATAAAGAAACGCCCCATGAGAGTATCTCTATTTTCTATAAGACCCCCTTTTTGGACCACAGGGATTTAGTTTCTTTATCTTGTAGCTGGAAAGAGGCGTTCGGTCTTAACTTTGCCCCCTCCCCTTTTCATCAACATCGAACCCCAGAACAATTTCATCTCAACGTTCTCTCAGTATGTCAGAGCGAGTGGACTGTGTTGTGAAACCTGTGGGCACCAGTGTGTCCTGTTGCACTGTCGCCCCCCCATCATCCTTGTATGTGTAGCTTTCTGGGGTAAAGGCAGGGGATCCATTTCCTCCCCCGCTCCCCCGAGTTAATGAATGTTGTTGAAAATCACAATAGAGTTCCTGTGTTAATTTTGCCCCCTTTCCACATATCACTTTATCTCCTGCATTGCCAAAATTCATGCATAGCCAAAATTCAAAGTGTAGCAAAAGGGGGGCTATTTAACCCAAACTGCGGTCATGTGGCCCTGTTAGATTTGACATTGAATGCACTTTGACGTGAGATTGTGTGGGATGTGTACTTCTTAGAGAAATCGCCTGCATTCCATCCATTCGAATGTCATCTTTTCACCGCGTTTTTATTGCCCTCGCATTTTTTGCCGTTTGTTCATACTGTAGCTCCCACGTTGGGATAGACTGATGTCTATTAAATTGGGAGTGTGCATCTCTGGATTTCCAACCTTTTTTTTTACACTGTATTTGTGAACATTTCAGAGCTTTTGATTTTAGGTGGAGTACTTTTGGTGGTATGTTAGAAACCTTCTGTCATCCGTTCATATGGCACTGTTTGCTCTGACAGGATGCAGAGCCAAGCAGCCCCCCCCCCCCTCCCCTCTAGACACACACACAGATGGTGATTTGTGTTGCTCATAGAAGAAAAAAATAAGCAAATCTGAAAGGTCTGGACTAAGTGATGACTGTGAGACTTTGGCCAAAGGGAGGTCTGTAGCACCGACTGTTCAGAGATTCATTTTAACTTAAAACGCCAGGCCTTGTCAGCCTTCTATTTTAACGTGCGATTTCCAAGGTCTTGTAAAAGGAGAGACGTAACCTCATCTGTGCATTGCCTTACGAAGACCTTGTTGTCATGAATTTTGAGCCATTTGTGATTTTTAAACCAATGTTAGCCAGTCGGTCTGTTTAAGTCCTGCCCGGACCCTCACTTGAGGTGTCCAATTCCAGCCTGGCAGCTTCCCACCTTCCCGCTCCTCCTGGTGTGGGGTTAGAGTGCCTCAAGTGCCACATATCACCTCCCAGCTCAGACCTCCTGCTCAGCCAATAGCCAGCATGCTGCTAGCGGACCCCATGTGGATGCAGGTAGACGTAATGTGACACATATCATCATCCATCGCTGTGGGGGGCTGGGTAAGGAAGGTGGGGATGGGGAGCTGGTGTGAGAGAGGGGGGGCCAGGGCCGGACTCTTTTTGTCCAGGGCAGCTAAAATCCCTCCAGCCCCCTCTCTGGACTTATTCAAAATCCCCCACCAAGCCCTTGACCCTCCCTCAGCAGTGATGGATACAAATAAAACTAAAACCAGCACACGCACTTGGCATGCTCAAGCTGCACTGGGGTGGGGCTAGTGAGAGACGCGGAAACATGGATCAAAGATGAAGAATCGAGGGTACTAGACCATTGTTTTCATCTCACTGGATTGCGCTGCACTTGATTACTGAGTTTGAGTACCAACTTTGTTTACATGCATATGAAAGGTTGTGATGGCTGTCTGACATACCCCCACTTCACTCCCGGTTCGGGGGTCCGAGAGGGTAACGGCGAGCTGAAACAGATGCTGTGGCGGCTTCTGGCCTTAACCGCTGGTCGAATATGTCACGGCACTGCTTCTCCGCTCATCACCAGACCTATGGGTGTTTAAGCTCCCCCTAAGCTCGAGATGATCATGGGTAACGGAGCTATAGCCTTTGACGCACTGCAACCCCTAACCCAACCTCCCCTGTTCTCTGTTGATAGTCCCTTCAGCAATCTGTGAAAAGCAGTGATTCCATGTTAGCCAGATGGAGAGGAGCTTGCTCGGATGGGAGCCCAGAGCTTCGGTTTCCCTGGTGGACGCCAGTTTTAAAACCACGCTGCTCCATAATAGCTTTTTTTATGTCATGTGACAAGATGTTTTGAGATTGGTCTATATTTCCGACGCGAGATGATCGTCTCGTCTCACTTTTCTCTCGATGTATTTTGTGGTCACACTGGTAGATTCTCATCTTTTCCACTCTGCCATCCCATTTATCCCCCCCATTTTTAGTCTGGTGATCCAACCCCCTTTTAACAGACCTTGTTTTAGACCTACAAAATAAAAAAAATCCAACCCAAATCCTATTCGACACCTTCCACCACCCAAAATGGTTTAAGTCCTCAGTAATATATTATTTCAATGGCATCCATTCAGCTTGTGCGCACATAGGTTACAGAAATGTCGTGAGAGTGCAGTAGTCAGAGGAAAATAGCACATAAAATGCACTAAATGTCAAGTTGAAGTTGTGTGACACTTTTTTTGAGACACGAGGAGTCTCCTGGAATGTATTGCCAAACTCAGGCCTCAGACATTCAATAAATACCCTTGTGGAGGAGTTGTGCATGTTAAGACATGAAACCGGAAGGGAACAGCAGTTTAGTTTTTGATGTTGTCGTCAAACTTGTCATCGATTAGTTGAATTATTGCCACTTTCACATTTGAGGTGTTTTACATATTGTAGAATGTATTGTAACTGTACAACATATGGTATAGTACATAACATTACACATGGGAAGTGCCAATAATTGCTATCCTGAGGTGTTTTTAAATTTATTCCTTTTTGTATTTCATCTTTTAACATGGATAATGCTTTTCGTAAGTGAAGCCATTTGTGATGGGAGTGTTGGCAAGGACCAAAGTTGTTTGGTAAAAAAATATTAGTTTCCATGATCTATAAGTGTAGACGTATCCTTTGTTTTTTTTTCTTTATTTCTTTTCAGTTCTTTCCTTTTTTTTTTTGCTATTTACGTACAAAAACCAGAAAATAGACAAAAAAATCTGAGCTTACCCAAGAAGAAAAGCTGTCTATCTTGTGATCTCATGTCAGTACATCTTTATTGTGTTCAGTTTCTTTTCCTTGGGTATGTTGTGATGAACTGCTGTAAATTTGTACAGTTCATGTAAATTGATTGTGCGGAAGTTGTACAGATTTCTATATTTTGGAAGAAAAGTTTTTTTTCTCTGTAATAAAAGATTTCCTATCTTGGCATCATATCCCCTGTGAGATGTGTCCTTATTCACTCAGGATTATTACATGCTGTCTTTAGAATTCTGAATAAAAGGCACATATTAATTATTAAATTAAATTGTACAGGCTTGTACTTTTTAAATAAATGATTTACCTCATGAATTATGTTTCTTATACAGTAAGAGCTACACAAAGCTAAACCCTCGTGATGTGGCCCTCATTGGCATTTGACCTCTCAGTTTAGGTGACTAAAGGGGACAGCTGTGGGGAAAAGGACTAGAGAACAAGAGCAATTCTTCTTACTCACTAACACACATTCCTCTATTTGGGCAGTAAACTGCACTTTGTATTTTGATTTTCAGGATGATAAAACATAAGCACCTAACCCTTTTACACAGCTTACAGTGGCTCTGTTGAACTTGATTTATTAAAAAAGACTCAGGCTCAAATTGTGCTATCATTTCAGTTTGAACAACTTGCCCAATGATTGTCAGTCAATATTGATATTTTGAGAGCAACTGGAAAAAATGTTTGCCTATCCAAATAGATCTGCCAGTGCTTTGACCATTTTATATCAAAAGATGCAGCAGATGGTACTATCAGCAAGGATTTTGTTAGAAACCTCATAAGTGCAAAATTTGCCAGAACACCGATATGCACAATAATGCTGCAACAGAACCAGCTGACTCCGCAAAAACCCAGAGTTGTGATTAAGACCGCAATCCTTTGTAGCACTCTCAATCCCCCTGGTTGCTTAGCAGCAGGACGAAAAAGAAAAGCATTTGGCTCGTTTTGACACACAGACAAAGGACTGAGTGAGAAGAGCTGGTTTAGCAGGAGCCGAGGGCGTGGGGGGGAAGGTGACTGGGCTTGTGTTTAAGTCGGGCTTTAACTCTCCAAACATTCACAATCCTGGGGCCTCAACAGCTGGGGAGTGTGGGTACTGTAGTTAAAAAATTATCAGAGACTGTCTTGTCAGCATAAGACACAGTAAGAGCGTTTGATGCAAATTCTCTGAGCTGCTTCCTGCTAAACTGTTGGATCTATATAGAAACAGGTAATAAATTCCCTGGGCGCGCCGGACTGTTTGGCCCGTTTCTTTTATAGAAAAATATAATCGGAGGGGAAGTGTGGCGTAGTGGGTTAGTGCGTTGGTGTTCGGATCAGGGGGGACACAGGTTCAAAGCCCTCTGCAGTCAGCATGTGTCCCTGGGCAAGACACTTCACCCCAAATTGCTCCTGTGGGGATTGCCCACAGTATTGAGTATGTAAGTCGCTTTGGATAAAAGCGTCTAACAAGTGACATGTAATAATGTAATGTAAAAGTGAATACAGAACCATACAACGGTAACACAAAGCACAAAGTGATCCAGATTTAGCAGGGTTTTGCAATCCTCCCCGGACAGCGTTTTGCAATGACTCATTGCAGCAAGATGTTTTGTCAAGTTATTAATCTCTGAAAAATGAGAAGTGGATTGCAGTGGGTGTGCTTGGGCAGAAACATATCATTTTGATTTTATAAGTATTTGATAGCTGTTGAAGCACGGGAGGTGTTTTTCACAAAAATATGCCGCTAAATGGGCTCATTTCACTGTGAAATGTTCTGAAGAAATGTAAATACATATCACTGATATTTTATGTAAATAAGAAGACATCAGCTTCTAAGGCAGTGTCATCAAATTGCATTGGAGTTTCAGCTTCGCACTGATGAAACTGCAGTGTAATATTTTCTGCTCTCCCCTCCCACTCACATAGCAACAGAGGTCACATTAGAGAGATGGTTTGATTAGGCAGAATGTTCTGAAAGGTGTGTCTGATTAGAAGAGAAAGACAAGGAAATACTCAGGAAGATTGTTTATGGTCTGATCCTATGCTATATGGCATGGAATGATAAACAAGTCAGGCCACTTTAATCTGTGGGAGTTATTGATGTTAAAATGTGCTGAATTTCCACTTAATCATTCATTATTCACATGTTTTTTTTGGACAAAGCACTTACAATTCAGCTTTTTACTGTACTCTGTCCTGTACCAAAGGTCTGTGTGTGGCAACATTTATATACACTGAGTCTGAACGCTGTGTACGAGCAATATGTGGCTGTCTGAGAACAAAGGCCTGGTGAGAGACAGTGGGAGCATGGTGCGTCTGCTAACAGTGTGAGGGGGGGGGACGACATCTGGGACTCGCTTTATTGCCAGAGAAGTGACAGGGTAGCCCTCCATGCTGCAGATGCATAAGTCACAGCCTTTTGATAATATGCCTCACGGTGTACGTTGCCAGGCTTCTCCTTCACCAAGAAAACTAGTATGATTTAGATGTGTTATTATAAACTAGTAAATGCTGAAACAGAAATATTTCCCGAACATGTGTGTCAATGGCCAAATATTTTAGGATATCCTCAAAAACCACAAGCTGTTCAGCACTCCTGTGTGTTTTTTCCACTGAGTTCCCACTTTATCAGTGTCCTTCAGAGTGTGTTTGTCATTCAGCAAGCCATGGAAGGACACATTGAGTCCTCTTTGAAACCGATCCTGGGTGGGTCTCCAGAGTATAGAGGCCACACTACACCCGACTATCTCTCTCTCCTTCCCCTCAGGGCACTATTCATCCTGAGCCATGACATCTGCTTTGCCCCGCGCTGAATACACCCTTCCCACCAGCATCAAAACAGGGACATTAATGAAATATAAGACAGTTTGGAAAAAGGAGTCCCGCTCGGGCCATCCAAATCACTGAGCAATCCTTAAGGAAAAGGTAACAATTACAGTTTTGTTGGGAGAAAACTGATTTTCTAACATAGCCTATATTTACTCTTAGTAACACCTAATGTAACCTTTAAAAAACTAAAACTGATTTATTGTTTTTGTGAATATCCAATGCTATTGTACTTTGTTATGTCCTTTCCCCCCCCCAGTAATGTATTTAGTTTCCTTTTACAGAAGCTGGTTTCTGTATATATTTTGAATATTTAAACTAGCATAAAGAAGATTGTTATGCAACCTAGGTCAGAGAGCTTTCCCCGTCTTTAATTACTTTTTATTTGTTAAAATGATGTACTAGCCTGCTACAGAAGGTCACTGACTAGGCATGCAAGTAGTTCAAATATAACCAAGGCAACGCTTTGTTTGGAAGTGATGCAATTACATTTGCTGTGATACGGTATAAAACTGAGTAGCCAGAGCCACCAGGACCAAACAAACAACAACAAAAAAGCAGATACAGGCAGAAACACAGGGTGTTTCTCAATGTCGAGTACGCTTGCTTGGTAGCACGTCTTCCGAGCGTCTTGCTTCAGAAACGAGGCAAGAATACTTCCTAGCCTCGGAAAATGAAGAATGGAACAGGCGAGCAGGTGTGCGTCATATGAGAGGCCCCGCCTTACATTTTCCGCCACAGATTTGGGGAAATTGGTCCGTGCGCAAAGCATTGTGGGGATTTTAACACCGCGGAGTCTACACATGTGCAGCCTCGAAATTTCTCCAAACGAAGTACGCCGGGCTCGGTAGAATCCCAAGTATGCTGGACATTGGAACAGTACTTCCGCGGCACTCGATGACGTAGTATGCTTGAAATAATGGCTCTGGAGCAGCTTTACTCGAGATTGAGAGACACCCAAACAGTATCAAGAAAAAAGGTTGACTATTTGACTGGTAGGTGATCTCTGGAGAAAAAGGGGTTGTTTGTGTTGCAAATTGCCTTTCTGAGTTGTGTGGCTATACATGTACTGCATGCAAAAATATGGGGTTAGATATATTTTTATAGCAACTGAGAGATCGTGATAAAGTAAGAGCGCATGATTTGATTTGTGTCTCTTCATGGTCTATCTTTATCAACTTCCTCATACCCTCTCTCCTTTCTTTTAACAAAAATAGATCATGTCATTACTCGCGCTCAGGTTATGTCTTCCTTTTTTCCCCCCCAGATTTCATATCACTTTTTCACCCCTCCTTCGTACCCTCTCCACCACCTCGCCCTCTGTCTATCTTTATCCCCCGTTCTCCAAGCTTCTGGTGTCACCTATCAGCTCACACTCCCACCGTAGAGGAATTCACTCGAGAATCTGGCTTCGGGCCTTATTAGGGTAAGGTGAGGGGCATCATGTGTTTTCATGGCTAATATGTTATTGTGTCTCTGAGAAAGGAAGAAAAAAGCTTTTTCCTGAAAGTGTTAAATGACTGACTGTGGAGTACTTCAAAAACCTGTGATGGGCTTTTGGATGAAGCATCACTACAAATAAGGAACCACTGCTTTAGAAAATACCTGATTCTTTGATACAAACTCAAAAGGTACAAATCTGGGGCATTCATACAAAATATATAAAGAGAAGTCACTAAGACTCGTCACTATGAGCACTTCAGTAAGAAACTAGCCATGAATACGTTGTTGGATTGGAACCAAATCAAACATTAGGAATTTAGGTCAGTCCGCTTTCAGGGTCAAGTTTAAAGAATTCAGATATTATGGTAATCTGTCTTCTGCCAAATTACAAAGGGATTTTTATTAAGCTACAGCTATCGTTCGCTCTTCTGAACGACTTCTTTCTCCATAGCAATGGTGGCTAGGGCTCAATATCCCAAATTCACTCTCCTTTTATCTCTGTTTTGGTCTCCACTTACGCCTCAGGGAAATATGTGGCTCATTAGCAGCTCAATAATGAAAAAAACAACGCCAAACCAAAAACAGTAACAGTAAGGCTATGGTTGATATAAAAAGTTTGATTAGGGACATCTTTAAATGATCCATGTGACTCCCATGTTTCAAAGGGGAATGTATATTGGTAAAACATCTGGAACCAGCAGTTACTCCCACTTCCATGAACATTTAAGGGAAACAAATTGAAACTGTGTTTATGTTTTTAGTGTCTGCCCCACATGATGTTTCTAACCAAGAACCAGAGGTGATATCAACAACCTCTGTGCCCTAATGATAAGCTAACAGGCTAACCACGGCTAATGTCAAGCATTCTCCCACACATGGTTATCTGAAAGTCAGCGGTCAGACATGGAGGCAACATATTCCAGTGGTC